CCGTAAATATATATATATATATATCTCTCTCTCTCTCTCTGCCTGCCTCTCTCTCTCTCTCTCTCTCTCTCTCTCTCTCTCTCTCTCGCTCTCTTTCTTACCAAGACTACACCTCTATGTGTAGTATCTTCTCGTATTGTACCAATAACAAGACATGTTCATATTGGTTCATATATGTACGCAACAACAGCCCAGGCTTTCAGTGCGACATCAAGAGTCAAGAGCTCCTTATGCAACCCGAAAACAATAAGCTAAAGCCGTCGCAACACATACGTGCTCAACCTTGAACAAGACGTAACTCGCAAGTGTAAACTGCAGGCCCTTGCATTTGCAAAACACCATGAGACAGGCCTGGCCGGAAAGAGCTCAGCGCAAAAGAGGTAGATCGTGGCTCCGCAGAAGCCCTGCGCAGGTCTACTGGGACTTCCAGAGTACAGTAAACTTTGAGCCAGTCACAAGGCTGCCGTTAATCCCTAAACCCGAAGCCCTGCAGCCTCAAAGAGAGGCTCAACGCCAGACAGAGAGGGAGAGAGAGAGAGAGAGAGACCGAGACAGAGCGGGAGGGCCTGGCTGCCTGGCTTCAATGACAAGCAGAAACGAGGCCGGGTCACAACTTAACGTGTCAGTGTTGTGTGAAACTTGAGTTGGCGCCAGCATCGTGTTCCGGGGAGCAACATATGGGATTTTCCGGATTTTCCAAGTGCGTCTGCAAGCATCACAATCAGCATAAACCTGACATTCATTTAAACACCTAAACCCCATATGCTACTCACTGAGAACGACTTGATGTCCGGCTTTGCCCGGAAACCTACTCCTTAAGGTCGGGGTTTCCGGGCAGAAGAAGGAGGCCAAAGCCGCAGAGACAGACGTCTGGCGTACTCACCGCTACGGTTTATCACGCACGGCTGAGCTTATGGTGTACTTTGCCTCATACTTCCCCTGCATGGCCAGACCTGGCCTACAATGCCTACAACGCAAGGCTGGACAGAGAAGATCTCAAGAGGCAGAGCTCTTTGAACATGCGCCGAATGCAGCAGCCGTGGTTTTAAGGTTTCCGGATACATCGCAGCTCCTGCCACGTGCTTTGGGCATGAATGTCTCGCCGTGGAAAGTCCGTATGTAGACAGCCAAAGAGGAGAGTAGGTCTTCTACATCGCGGACTCTTACCTTCGAATATTCGAGGGCTGCCATTCAGCAAAAACGCAACCGACCATTATGAGTTGCAGGGGGAATGGTTACAGTCATAACTGCAGCAGAAGCGAAACCTGTCTACAACTTCTAATCTTGCCACAGAAAGCAGCGCCTGTGCCACACCAAATAGCAAGCCCAGGCCCACGTACGCCACTTCGCGGTTTGTGGGGTCGAAGGCAATCCTGATGGGCTCAATTTTGGGTTTGGAGGCTGTGTAAGGCAGTGAGGTTCAAGTTGGATTTTAGGACTCAAGTGAGGCGTAGGGTCGTATGAGGCCCTGAGAGGTGCATTTCCGCTTTAACGTGGGGTTGCGAAAAACAACAAAGAGACGAATTGGAAGAGGGTTCAATGCACTTGTTCCATCGCAATTGTCAGACTCTATCGAGAAGCGACGGCATGTTGCATGAGGCAGTGTGGACTGCGATCTAGCGCACTGAAGCGCTTGGCGCTTTCGGGCCCGAAGACTCCAAAAAAGTGCTGAATGGGGCTGTTGGGTCTGTCTTTCTTTTCAATAATCGGCTTGGCCCAGAAACCAGTCCAACCTAAAACTTTTCTGGATCTTGCAGGAGTCCACGTGTAGGTCGGGACGGAAATGATGAGGACGTAAATTGCTCCCACCAGTACACAGAAGCCCACGCCATACCTGTCAGTCACCATGGCCGCCACGGGTGTAACGGCGAGACCAATCCTTGGCAAACTCACCGTGCCGGAGAGATAAAGACCGAAGCCACAATACCACGTTGAAAACACAAAAACCTAGGAGTCCTCTGAAGCCCAGGAGCAGCTGGCAGGAATTGCCCACCTTCCAGAGATATCAAGACTTGCCGCATGATTTTTTTCGTGTTGATCGCTATTTCGTTGTGTTGTTGTCTCTGAGTCTCCATCTCTTGCTCTCTCGCTCTCTTTCTCTCGCTCTTTCTCCCGTGTGCGTAGCCTCGAAACACCGCAAACGAACGACGAGTTAAAAACATCGACACCCCAACAAACAATTTCCGAACTAGGATAAAGCTAACCCTAAACCGTACAAGCCCAAAGGCCTGAAGCTCAAAAAACTATAATCCTTGTCTTCTCGGGGCCACCCACAAGTTGTCAGCCGACTCAAGCTCGAGAACCGCTGTGACCGTCCAAAACGGTGGGGCGAACCTCCGCCAAGGGAGGAAGGGCTGAGGATTAAAAGGTTTCGACTCGCACACTCGCACAAGGCGGGCACGGCATGCAGTTATCCTTTTCTGTGTTGAAAGGGTGTTGGTTTCGGCGCTAGCAACTCGGACAATCCCGGCGAGGAATATGTCTGTAGGTCAACTGAGTAGTACCAATGAAGGCCCTTGAAGACTACAGCAAACAGCAAGCCAGTAAGCATACCAAACCTGCTACTAAACAAAACAAACGTGCTGGCGTCGGGCTCAGGATGCCGGGCTAAGGTTTAGGGCATTTGTCGTCTTTTATGTGCCGAATTTCCATCTGCAGAGTCTGAGTCGGAGCTATGATTCGAGAGTAGGGTTGTGGGGAAAGGTTGAGGAATTTGGACTTTTGAGGCCTGCGTGTGTGTTTTTCGGGCTATTTTGTTGTCGGTCCGGTTCCCCTCCTCGTTTTCTGGGCTTCGACACTCACACTCGGACAAGCCAGGCGAGGTTTTGGTGCGTGGTCGGAGGTGAAGCACTTCCAAGAATGCCCCAAGTCCCAAGTTGGTTTTGGATTTAGTGTGTTCCGGGCTTGTGCGCATCTTGGATTTGGATAGCAACACCAACTGTTCGAGTCTTTGCATCGCGACTGCTACAGCTCAGGGTTCAGGTCGAATATAAACCAGCAGCACGTGGCATGGAAGCTTTCACAACCTGGTACAGCCGGTTCCGACACCTTTTCCAAGTCGAACTCCCGATCATCAGGCTCTTCAGGCCCATGCTGCAGACAAAGGGGCCACATCGTGGCAGTCGCAAAGCAGGCGCCGAAGCCGACCAACAGACTCAAACGATGCTCCTCAAGGCTGGTATGCCTCCTACTTCCACTTTTAGGCTTTGTGGACTCTTGCTGAGTTTTAAGGTTTGGCACGGGTTCGGGCAAAATTCCGCCCGTCAAACTGGGCTAGGTCATTGTGAAGGGACTGGCTTCGACTTGATGGACTCTTGACGGCCAATCCCACGAACTACTTCCACCTGCATACCTACTGCCTGCTCCCGATGCCTACCTACCTTCCATGCACCCCAAGGCCCGAATGCAGGAACAAAAACCTACGGTACATCCTAATACACTCTATAAAAACCAGAGAGCAGCGGGCCTTTAGGAGCTCCAAGAAGCCGAATCGGCTCCGGGATGTTTCGCCTGCCATGGTAGATGTGAGCACGAGGAACGAAGAATCCGTGTGCAGCTGTAGGTCATGGCATGAATAGTACCATAAACCCAGAAGCCCTCAGCCCTAACACCCTGAACCTGTATTAGTATTGTAGTACCCCAATGCCCCGAACCCTAAACCCGAGAAGCACCCAACAACGAAACCTAAACCGGCATGCCCTTGGAGCCGAAAGCCTGAGCCCCCCTGGAGCTCTGAGGCAAGAAGCGCCTTCGCCTCCGATTTCCAGGAAGGTGTCGGTCTCCGGGATCCTGGCGGGACAGTTTAGGCTTCCTGGTGGCATTGGGCTGCATGGGCTTTAGGATTTCGTGGTTTTACGCCTTAAGGCGCTGACAGGCTGTAGGGTTTTAGACTCTCCTTGGCATTGGGAGTTCGATAGTGCGGCAGAGGGACTACATGAGCCCAGCAGGTGACATCATCGTGCCCAAACTGCAGGACGGGACCATGGCACAAGCTTAGTCAATGCTGAAAGAAGCAGGCCCTGCAGCGCTTTAGGGTTTAGGTTTTCAAGTTGAGGGCTTTTATGGTGTACGATTTCAGGGTGTAAACCCAGCCTCATTTTTTGTGGGCCGAGTGATGCTATTGCTCCACTTGTCGCCTTATCCGGTCGCTTGGACGCATGTAGAAAATTTAGGAGCTGCAAGGTTTAAGACGGAATCAAGACAAAGTCTTGTCCAGTAGACCTACATGACCTCTGATGAAGCACCCCCCTGCCCTTCAAGACCATAGTACATGTACGATGGACCCAGCCTGGATGCCTATCATGACCCCGGGCATGCTACCTGCCACCATTCTGTAGCAGTTCTTTCGTTTCGAAGAGCTGACGACACGGTGCATTTTGATCCGAACGACCTCGTGGATGCACAGCAAGACTTGACGAACCACGACCAGACAAAGCTTGGTTTCTAGGATCTGCAAGCCCCAGCCCCAGCGCCATCCCGAGAAAAGCAACTTCATATAAGGATTGGGAACCCATGGCTCTGGGCTGACACCAACATCCAGCGAACCCCTTGAGCTTTAGGCTTGCAGAAATCCCACTCTTGTAGCAGTATCCCGGAGACATTGCTACAATGTCCATCTCAGTTTCCCCAAACCCTTAGTGACATAGAACCATATAGAAACCTGCTCTAATCTTTCTAAACGAAACTCACAGAAGCACCTGTTGCGGCCCCACATAGAAATCGCCCCTGGGATCGCAGAGATCCTTAGAAGGGTTGGTAGTGTCCGGAGCCTGGGGATCAGGGTTGTTTCGGTGCCACATCTTGAATTCAGTGCCCAGAAGATGATATAATGATGACTGTGACGACGATGATGATGATGACGGCGGCATGACGACGATGGATAGCCACTACTGCGAAGATAGAACTCGAGGCCAGTACGGTTATTGCTGAAGCTTTTGTTGTTGCCACTAGTAGCAGTAGCAGTCGCAGTCACAATAAGCAGCCGTCGTCGTCGTTGTTGTTGCTGCAATAGCAGTAGCAGCAGCAGTAGCAGTAGGAGTAGTCGTCGTCGTAGTAGGAGTAGTGGTCGGAGGAGGTGGAGGAGGAGGAGGAGCAGGAGTAGTAGGAGTAGTCGTCGTCGTCGTGGTGGTGCTGGTGGTGGTAGTAGCAGTAGTAATAGTAGTAGTAGTCGTCGTCGTCGTAGTAGTAGTAGTGGTGGTAGTAGTAGTAGTAGTAGTAGTAGTAGTAGTAGCGGCAGTAGTAGTAGTAGTAGTAGAAGAAGAAGTAGTAGTAGTAGCAGTAGTAGTGGTGGTGGTGGTGGTGGTAGT